CTCAAAAAGGTTAAAGTATCTTGAGCAAGACTGCCAGTTAGCAAGTGGAGGAACAGAGGGCTTCTCATGCCGAGTCTTATTGTGCTATTTCTACACACAAGTTGGAACTTGCCATATTTGTTCTGATCTCCCTTACTGATCATACACAAACTAAGGGCATAAGCCATATCTCATTTTTCTTGATATTCTCTGAAGCATATAGCAAGAGACCTTATACTGGGTCACTTTTCAATGTGTTTTTGTTGCCTGAAAGAATGAATGTATGGATATTCACAGGCACACTGGCCTCAATAATGGCGAACGTCTGTGGGCTGGTAAGCTTTGAGTATTTATTTCCAAGGCGGGACTATAACTCAACAACGCAAAGTTCTAAAAACAAATTCTGTACTTGTGAAAGATGCCACCTGGTCCGCCTCAGGGGCTGAAGTCCTCTTTTTATGCACGGAGTGGGAACAGCACAGGGAGGGACGAGCTGGTTTTCTTCAAAGCACTCCCACTAACCGGCTGAGCCAAGGACAGGCCCACACCTTTGGGGGAGAGACTGTGCAGTCTCTGCTGCCATTTGACCTCTGGTGTCACTGCGGGAACTGCCGCAGTCCGGGGCGGAGGTGAAGGCAAGGAAGGATTCGTGCCAGCTCGGATGACATAACCCTACGATTCCAGCTTTCTTGCCAGGAAAAAAAGGCAACTGGTTTGGAATCTAGTTTTTCACCCCCCTTCTCCTGTTATTCAACCAAAATCTACTTTACATAGCTAACCATTAGCTTTTCTTGCATACCTTACCACTTTTTTTTTTTTAATTTAAATGAACATTACTTAGTGTCTAATTCAATTGATTGGCTTGGGTTCCTTTGAAAACAAATGAATGGACCCTGAAACATGCGCATTTTATAAAAGTCCCTTGTTGGAGAAGAACACAAAGTTCTCAGAACCTTTTACTCTGCAAGCCACGTATAGAACACAGCGAGAGACCAGGAAACAACAAGCATCTAAACACTATAGAGGCGTTCAGTCAGTCATGCATCCCGGTACTGCTAGAAACACCAGACAACTGTGCCAGGACAGATTTCTGAAGTTAGACCACATTGTAGAGCTTCATAAATTATAATACACTTGGGAGTTTTCTACCCAGTGTCTCTGACAGATGTTCTCTTTTGTGGGAGCCCCTAATTTGGGGGCATTTGGTATCCATAACCCTAGAAATCTTTAGAGTAAAATAAATTTATCCCTCTTCCTGTATGTGATGACAAGACCCCAGGGTAGCCTTTTCCTATTTTTGAGACTAGTTAATGTGAGCACAGTGCCCTTGCCTACTGCATGGACTAGCTAGGGCAGAGACATTACATCAGCCAGACTAAAACGGGTTATTTCCCAGGCTCAAGACAGCTTTCCATGCCATGTAAAGTCTTTTATCAATTTTTACCTACTGTGGATCAGGCTGTCAATCTCCAGGGCTTCTGCCTGTCAAATACAGTGCATGGGACTTGGGACTTCCTCGAAAGAGCCACAGCAGAAGCCAAAAAGCGTGCAAGCCTGAGCTAGGGCAAGCGTCTGGCATTGGCTTCGGGCGGGTCCACGTAGGATGCTTTTCCCATGACTCCTGAAAGAACTCTTCAAGTCTGACTCTATAATCAGTGCCTCAACAGTTAAAAGTTGACAGGATTGTATGAAACACAGAAACAAGAGCTTAACACAATATCAAAGATAGTAACAACCTCTCTTCACTCAGTTCCTAAAATCTATCCTATGACCTTGACCTTAGTGAAATGACATTACTTCTTTCCTATGCTCTGAGCTCTATAAGAGTCAGGCAAAGATATGAATAACTTTAGCAACTATGTAAGGCCTTAGAAGATCATACCACAATTTGACCACTTTCCATTTTAACCTTTCACTAAAAGCTCATTTTTACAACTTTTACTCAAGGATATAAGAACGTTTAGTCATTTTCTTTGCTATTACACATGCAGTTCTATTAAGGGAACTTGTACCAAACAGTAAAAATGTACAATCTCTCAATGATGCATTTTCACATTTTCTTGTGAAAATTACTTACTTCCCTAGAACACTGTCAATTATTTACTATTATTTGATATTATTTACCCTGCACTGCATTTGTAAAAGCATTAAAGGAATGAAAAGACTTGCTCCTTGCATGTGAGTTGCTTGTGATATAAATAAAAGATTAAAAAAAAAAAAGCACAGCACTAACTAAATCTATGGTGTGCAGATTATAAGAATGATAGAAGTTTAGTGTTGTAAGAACTCAGAGGAAGGCTAGATTAATTTTGCTCAGGGAAAATGGGTGGTAGACGGCATCTGAAAAAAAGTCTTAGAAAATGTATAATATTTCAACACAAAGACAGCATTAGAGAGGGGCATTTTACATGGAGGTAACAATTTTAGTAAAGGCACAGAGGCAAGAGAGTATGTGTGAATGTAGAAAACTTCAAGGGAAGGAGTCCAGCTGAAGGACTGGATACATGGGGAGAAATGACAGGAAACTGATCTGGAAAAGCAAGCTGTGGCCAGTTCTTAATATAATAAGGGGCTGGGGGATGTAGAAAGCTAGATTTTAGAAATAGGAAATCACTTTTAAAACATTCCCTTTACTAATAATTTTTCCCACCATATCTTTGAGTGAGAAATATTTTACTAGCAAGTTTATTTGCAAACTACGAGCAGTCACTTCAAAGAACAATGAAGTAAATGCTGGCAAATTTGTGGCTGCAGCTTAAATGATAATATTCTTATTACCTATATCTTGTGATTGTTTTACAACTCTCTTTTCTCATCATCAAAATACCTTCTTAGTTTAATGCATTCTGTATGTACTGAGTGGCTACTCTGGAACTAGTATTTGCTCACATGTTTACTCATCCCCTCCTTTTCTGCCCCAATCTGTCCTACTAACCACTCACTCAGTCACTCATTCTTCTCCTGTAAACTATATCAACAATAATAACATTACTAGCTCCAACTTGCTATAGTGACAGGCATTGCAATTAATGCTTTATGAACAGTATTTAATATAATCCTCAAAACAAAACTATGAAAAAGGTATGATTACCCCTATTTTACAGATGAGGCAACAAATTCAGAGATGTTAACTATTTTGCCAGTTGCTAAGTGACAGAATCCAGGTTTAAATCACATATGCTTGATTCCAGAACCCTTGCCTGTTACCACTTCACTGTATCCTCTCCAATATCCTTTGGCCTCTTACAGCTATGGTTCAGTATTTTCAATTAAAAATTAAAGGATTCACTGAGTGACTGCTACTTTAAGATCCTGTTCCAGGTATTGTCAGAGGTATATAAATAGATGAGAGAATGCCTGTGGGTTATAAATGCTCATAATCATCCATATTTGAGTATAAAGAGCCATGCCTTTTATCAGTAAGACGGTATGTCCATGATTCATGAATTAGGAGCAACTAAGGAGAAGGAGGGTGAAAAGAGCTTGGTATATGAATGTGGATGGTGACCACATCTCAGACAGAAATCAGCCAACCCTGACTAGATGACTTACAGAGAATTTTAATAATACATTTCAAGCAGAGTCTGTAAAAACTCTCACTGCTGATGAAAAATCTGTCCTGTCAGAAGTTCCCAACCAAATCTGCTTACAATCCATTTTCAATGAACCTCAACTTCCTTTGAAGTAGAATAAGCTACTAAAGCATTTTAGCCAACAATAAGCACATTGTGAGGCTAGTGCTTATAAGATTCATTACTGATGAACAAAGTTACTGAGTTAAAACACAAACGTAATATCAAACTACTGGTACCACATAGTCTGAATGTTGTGTAAAGTGATACAGAACTATTTAAATGCAAAAAAATAATTCAAACATGTCATCTTTTTAAGCTACCTGCTTCTAATATTCCCTTCACTAACTTCTGAATAAGTTAATACTGTCAGGATACTGGTTACATTTTTACAAACAATGAGAAAAGTTATGGATACACAAGAAATTGAGTAGGGTGCTGTTCAGCAGTCCTCTTTAAGGTAACCATACATGTTGTTGTTTAGTCGCTAAGTCATGTCTGACTCCTTTGTGATACCATGGACTATAGCATGCCAGGCTCCTCTGTCCATGGGATTCTCCAAGCAAGAATACTGGAGTGGGTTGCCAGTCCCTTCTCCAGGGGAGGTTCCGACCCAGGGATCGAGCCAGGGTCTCCTGCATTGCAGACAGATTCTTTACCAACTGAGCCACTCTTTGCAACCCCATGGACTGCCAGGGGACATAGGGCTAACCTATTAGTTTGGCAAGCAGGGCCCCATCTTCAGAGTTGCTATCTGGAGGGGAGGCAGAGGGTTAACCCGCATGCATTAACTATTAGGGTGCACTCTGCTAGGGATGCAGGGGAGTGCTTCAGGAGCTCATAGGCGTGGCACCAGCCCCAGAGTTGGGATTTCTAGTCCCCAGAAGCCTCCCTGCTGCTGTCTGGAATGCTCTCCCCTGGCTGAAAGATCCGCCCCCACCATGTCTGCATGGCTCCCGCTCTCCACTAGTCAGTGCATGCGTGTCACGTCACTTCAGTTGTGTCTGTCTCTGCGACCCTATGGACTGTAGCCCACCAGGCTCCTCTGTCCACAGGATTCTCCAGGCAAGAATACTGGGGTGGGTTGCCATTCCCTTCCCCAGGGGATCTTCCCAACCCTACTTGGCAGGCAAATTCTTTACCACTGAGCCATCAGGGGAAGCCCAACCGCACATACCCAGGGACATTCGTAAGGAGTCACAATTTTGGACCCAGGCACAGTATTCACATCACAAACTGCACAGCTAAGTCTTATCCAAAGATCACTATGGCAAATACTGTCTGTATTTAATCTGGAATCTAAACACTGAATACAATTCATTTTAAGAAAACAAAAGTCAATAAAGAGAAACCATTTTAAGAATTTAAGACTGGCAAAAGAAGTAGCAATCACGTCTCATTAACAAGAGGAATCATGAGGCTACATAAAATTACGACACCAATACTTACTGTTCAATTCGGGGTGACAAGTACAGCTTAGGGTATACCTGAGTGGCTTCAGTGTCCTCAAAACTGACAGAAAGGAGGGCCACATCTTCTCCTGGGTCTTCATTCACATCCTTAAACAGTTAGTGAAAAACACAATGTCATTAGTACTTGCTCTCATAACATTTTTCTGGTGACCAGCTTACTGTCCGCCAGCAATGAGGCTGTGTGGGTCACCTGGATTCTAGTTTTGAGACTCCATACATGCTTTGCCACATATCTAGTCACTCTTTAATAGTGACAGCTTTCAAACATTCTGATCAAACTCCACCATAATAATAAAAAGATCTCCACCAATATTTCAGTTGTTCCCACATTCCAAGAAGGAACAAGTGAATCTCGTGTTAAAATAAAGGATTAGACAAAAATGTAGTTAAGTTACAGTAAACATGCTGCTAGCAAGATATATAATGTCTTATAATTTATATAATACATACAAATGGCTTAAAATTTACTTTTCCTAGAAAGAAGATGCATTATAAACATGATTTATATCACCAGACAGTAAGAAAATCTTAAAATACCCTAGGAATTTTATTATATCTATCTTGATAATATACTGTAAGATATTTAAATAGTAAACATTGCCAAGAAATATATTACTATGAAGTGTGCCACTGCACATGCAAATGGCAGGGTGTTACACACATACCTGTTCAAACAAAATGATCATGGATGATTCATATGTGAACCACATGACATATGTATTTTAAAAGTCTAGTTATAAGAATATTATAAGACAAAAACAAAGAAACATTGAGAGGTTGAACTGATGATAAAGCTAAACTTACTGTAATTTATAATTAAAAAACAAGAATAGCAACAATCAAATGTCATAATCAACTCAAGCCAACACTGATGATATATTAAACTGTCCTGAATTAAAACTGTGGGACTTACCACTATGTGAATGTACTTTACAATCACTGCCAAGCACTGAGTATTTGGCAGACTTCTGAAACAAATCCGAATTAGAATAAATTCTCATAGCATGGTGATTTCAATTTGAGAATAGAAAATTTTAATAACCCTTAACAATTTATTTCTGATTGGTAAGTGGCTACAGAGGCTTCCCTGTTGGCTCAGGCAGTAAAGAATCTGCCTGCAATGTAGGAGACCCGGGTTCAATCAGGAAGATCCCTTGAAGAAGGGGATCCCACTCTAGTATTCTTGTCTGGAGAATCCCATGGATGGAGAATGTTGGACTACAGTCCATGGGGTCGCAAAAAGTCGAACATGACTGAGTGACTCTCTCTTTCTCTCTCTCTCACACACACACACACACAAATGGCTCCAAGTCAAATACAAGTTTTTAAGAAACTTAATAGAATTGCACATTTTTCACACTAAGGCACTACTAAGAGCCAACCCACATTTCTAAATCAGATCACACGTTCTCAGCAGACATCCTAGGAGAGTCCCAACCCAGACTTTAAGAATCACTGCCTGTGATACTTGGGAATCTCAGACATGATGTCCTTCCTTTGGTCTAAAACAGGCCTCAGCCCAGCTTCTCCTGCATCTTTGGAAGCTGGTCCTCACACTCACCCGCTTATCTCTAGCATCTTTGGTCTCCCTGCTCTGCTTTCTACTGTGTCTACAGGATGCACAACTGTGGCAAGTATACATAGGGACAAGGAATGGAAGTCTCCCCTATCTTAAAATGTAAAAATTTTTAAAAGAAAGAAAAGAAATCATGCTGATTTCTGCTTAGTTCCCTGGGTTTTCTCTCACATCTCCCCTCCACTGCATAGACTGCTGCTGAAAGAGTGGTCCACACTCCCTGTCTCACTCCCTCCCCTCTTCTTAACCTCCCCTTAGCCTGCTCTAGTAGCCTTCTGACCCTACTTCCTACCAGGACAGCCACTAAAGACAACAAATGCCTCTCGGTCCCCATCTTACTTGATCTCTAAACAGTATTTGACACGGAATTCTCTCTCCTCTGAAAATACTCCTTCTTGCTCCGAAGAAGCTATATGTTCCTGGTCTTCTCTTGTCTCTTTGGCCACTTCCTCCTCTCTTATCTGCCTTTCTTTTTTAACTTCTCAATTGTTTTTTCATTTTACATTACAAAATTCAGGCTTGTTGTAACAAGTCAAATGATACTGAAGGTTTTTGTTGTTGTTGTTGTTGTTTTAAAAAGGCATTTCCAAAAATAAATAAATAAATAAAAAGGCATTTCCATCCTTGCTTTTCAAGGTAACCAATAGTAACTGTGTATGTGGCCTTAAACAGCTTTTCCTATGATCATAAAAACATACACACACTTGCATATAAATAACTCTTTAACTGTGTGTTCTGTTTTCCCTAATAAGAGTCCTATTATACACAGGACTCTACCACTGCTTTCTAAATAGTCACATAATATTTCACGTCATGGATTTATTTTGTATTTAACCATTCCCCTAGCAACAGATATTCAGGTTGCCTGTAGTTCTTAGCCACTTGATAGTGCTGCAATAAGTATCTTTGGATAAATACCCTTTAGTAGTGGGACTTCTATTTCTTAGGAGATAACTAAAACTCAGCTTGCTGAGTCAAAGGCTATAAACATTTTACATTTTAATAGACTGTTTTTCTAAAACTTCTGCAGCAATTCACATTTGGGCCCATGAATTTGCATCAGTATGAGAAAACCTCTTTCTGTTCATCCTGAGTAATTGGATGATACTGGCTATTTCTCTTTCATTTGACATTGGCAATCTGATAGCTGGAAAACTGTACCTCAATTTAGATTTAATGAATGAAGCTGGGCAATTTTTTTTACTTGTTTATAGATAATTTACATTTCTCCTATAAACTTTCCCATCAAATCTTTTGCCCATTTTGCTTAAAGGTTTTTGGACTTTTTTGTTGTTATTGTTATTGTTTATTACATTTACTAACCCTTGTTTATCCCATGTATTATAAATATTTTCTTTTTTTTCCATTTATTTTTATTAATTGGAGGCTAATTACTTTACAATATTGTAGTGGTTTTTGCCATACATTCACATGAATCAGCCATGGATTTACATGTGTTCCCCAGCCCGATCCCCCCTCCCACCTCCCTCTCCATCCCATCCCTCTGGATCTTCCCAGTGCACCAGCTCTGAGCACTTGTCTCATCACCAGCCCAGGCTGGATGCAAATATTTTCTTTTTGGCTTCTGACTTTGTCTGGGGGCTCTTCTGACATCAGAAGAAAATTGAGAATGCTATAGGGTTAAACCTGGCTAATAACTCAGAGGTTGTTTAACCATTTTCCTAGTTTTTCCTCTAACACTGTTACAATTTTATTTTTACATGTAGATTTTGCAATGCATGTATATCTGGACTATAGGTGGAATGACAGAGGAAGTATGTAAAAGGAACAAGTAGTACAGTGCTTGGAACACAGAAACCACTCAATGTCTGCTGAATGCATAAATCAATAAACAATTTAATGTTAATTCCTAACCTTTTTCCTCCACACCTAGTGATTTTATAAAAGCTGCTGTCACCAGTGATGTCTGGGAACTAAGTACTGGTTCCTGGCTCCTGTCCTCTCCCCCACCTCCCCTCCCCAGTAAACCAAAGTCCCCAGAACTAGTGGTTTTAAAAGGAAAGCCAAGATTGGGAGTCTGAGTTTATCTATCACTTTTTACTCTTTTATAGATGAGAAAGAATCCAACTTTGTATGCTCCTTTCTGTAAAGTAAGGATGGAAAATTTTAAAAATACTTATAGCCTCAGCAAATAGAAACTATGTAATTATATGATTCTAAAACTCATAAAATATCTAAAATAAGGGTGAAGCTGAGCTTGAAAAAATTCACATTCAGAGAGACAAATTCATTTTATAATCTAAGTACAAAAGTAGTTCCCTTTGGAGTTAGGGTAGTCACCTTCAGAGAGACAGTAAAAGAAGAACTAACATTAAACTGACTTTCAGATACCTTTGCCCAACAACTGAGTTTCCTTGTTAAATGTCTCTGACTACAAGTCACAGAACTCTGTTAAAATTTTAAAAAAACACTGAAAAAAACGGGGGCCACTAAAAATCCTTTTAATTAACAGCTTCATTCCATATGCCTATGAATAACTTATATTATTATTTCCCTTTCCTATTTTTTGAACTTCGCATTTCACTACTATTTAAGCAAAGAACAGAAATGCTCAGAGACAGTCCTCCAAACAACCGGAATGACCCTGGTTTATATAATCAACATTTATTATCTGGCATCCTGCAAAAAGTACATGAAACATTAGTCTGAGTATGAAAATAGCTGTTTCTAGAAGTTCCTTTTATGAACTTCTTTAATATGATTTATTCCCCTTGGTGTGTGTGGCACATGAGTTTTCCCCGAGTTGGTATTTGATATCTAATGGATACATAAGTTTGACTTTGAGAGCTTAAATAAGCCCAAAGAGTTCCAAAAATACAAATCTACACAGTGCTGCTTCCAGTTTCTGCAGCTCTAACAGGCCTGTACATGTGTTCCTTCCCATCTGGGAAATTATAAAAGAAGCTCTTGTACCATGGTTCTTAGAAGCTAACATTACAGATGATTATTGTAACCACTAATGGCAGCATTTGGAAAACTGGGGGTGGTAACAGTGTAGTAGGGGAAATTTTAAAATGTACAAGTATACATTTTCAGGGCTTCCTATCTGTGCCATTTGAAACTGCAGCAGACTAAAATGGGGTTGGGGGGCAATGCCGAATCTGCTAAAGCTGAAACAAAAATACTGCCTCACACCTTTACAAAAGCATGTCAGGCACTGATATGCATATGGCAAGGCAATCATGGCTGTGATATTTTGCTGAGAATTATCAGTGGATTTGGCATGGCACTTGGTTATAGCAGAAAGGGCTTCCTGTGGCTTGCAGTGAATAGTCACTAGATGGTGAGTTCCTTGCAGGATGGGAGTTTTTCCTGTTCATTTTTGTATCCCCAGTGTCTGGAACATAGTAAATATATAGCAAATTGGTTGGAAAAAAAACTGAATTAGCACAGGAATGACTGTAAGAGTGAGTAAATGATGGAGTTAAACAGAAAATGCTTTCTGTTACAAAGATTCTCAATATTTATCTCTTCTGTGCCTTAAATCTAC